GCAATTATAACCTAAATTAGCTGAAAATAACCCTAGAACCTAGAGGCTACTGTTCCTTTAACTATATAACGCCTGTCGTACCGTAGTTGGCTACCACTAGGCCCAATACACTAGTAATGCTAGTAGTAGTAGTAGTAGTAGTACTAGTAGTATTACTAGTAATACTAATATTAACGCCAAGGATAGAAAGCATTTCCAGTGTACAGTAATAAACATCATCCTAATTCCTATCCTGTATCCAATCACTGAATCACCGTCCTCACGGTCCTGGACATCATCTCTATCCTTGAACCTTAACGCCAATATCAATGAGTTTAAACTAGACGTAGCAGTTCATTTGAAATAGAAATGAACACCGATCATAGTCACTAATATTGATTGACACATTTGAAAATAGATGATTCGAATTTAGATCCTAGTATCGGTACTTACTTCAACCTATGCTTCAACGAACTTGTTCGTGTTCGTAATCAAACATGGTAGCGCCCATGTCGTCAGCGCGCAGTCTCATTTCAGTCATTTCGAAATATTTTGTAGTCATCAGTATAACAGACTATTGTGAAACACACTGCTAATGTAATATAATAGACGATTTCATGGCTCTGTATTTTTTTATTATGGTGATCAACGTATTAAACAATACAGCATAATGAGAAGAAGCCTGGTTTCATATCGCTATTTCTCACTAGGTGGCACGAATGTCGCCTCTTAATTTCGACTGCTGCACTAGCGTTATTACTAACGTAAATATTAATTATTATACAGGCTACTGATCATCAACATCATGGATGAAGAATTAGATTCTTTGCGTGCAAAACGTCTTGCCGAGTTACAGCAGAAACATGGGGTAAGACCCTAGGCAGTGTACAGTACAGGGTTTCTTCTGAAGGGAAATTAGACAACGGCGGTTTGCCAGTTTGGGGAAAAACGCACATGATGATGATCATGATGGGTTCAAAGCCAGGCGTGCAGTAGGCACGAATGTGGATTCTGCAGGCAGACGCGGGGGGGGGGGTTCTAGGGGTCTCCCCCAGCAAAATTTTAAAAATTTGAATGCCTTAAGCCTAGCACAGACTTGCGACTTCGCTGTGACCTGCAATCGCATGCGATCGGTCGCACGTCTCTTAGTCTTAGTGTGTTAGAAATAGATACAATAATGTAACCCAAACCCAAGAGGATAGGGTTACAAAGCCTCCCTATCCTTTTGTGTGAGGAATGCCCGAGTGAATCACTCGGGCCGGTTTGCTGGTGCGTTTTCAGAGACTAGAACTTCCAAACTGGGTTTATTCTCAACACGAACCTTTCTCCGCTATCCGGGAACTTACTATGTATCGTAATACTCTGTATTAAACTAATATAACCTGTTACAAAAATTCGAAGTGACGAGCGGCGAATATACTGAGCGCCATTTCTGTTGACCTGTGACGTACGCATTCCTAATGCGCATAGCGATCGGCAAACGCAGCGCCCTCCGATTGGTCGGTGAATCCGCTCTTCAAACCGAAGTATGTCACAGGTCAACAGAAATGGCGCTCAGTATATTCGCCGCTAGTCACTTCGAATTTTTGTAACAAGTTATGTTAGTTTAATACAGAGTATTGCGATGCATAGTAAGTTCCCGGATAGCGGAGAAAGGTTCGTGTTGAGAATAAACCCAGTTTGGAAGTTCTAGTCTCTGAAAACGCACCAGCAAACCGGCCCGAGTGATTCACTCGGGCATTCCTCCACACAAAAGGATAGGGAGGCTTTGTAACCCTATCCTCTTGGGTTTGGGTTACATTATTGTATCTATGAGTGTGTGTGCATGCAAGCGACTAGCTCTAGTACTATAGCCCGTGTACAGTTTCCGCACAGGCCTGCGGCAACTGTACGCGGGCTATAGTACTAGAGCTAGCAAGCGACTGGCTACCATTTGGCGAAAAATGATGCTGGTGGCAGTATTTACCCGTCATTTCCAGTTGGATCGCAAGATCTTTATATGCCGCATGTTTCTTAGTGCGATCGCTGTGTTCCGGCAGTGTAACATCAAACAAAACCGGCCTCTCCATCCACATATCTAGCAAAATGCTTTCTTTCTCATCACTCCAGCTTGTTGCTGTGAGCATAGCCATATTGAAATATCACGTGATGAGATGGTGCTCGCTGATTGGTCGGACGAGAATTTGTCATTGTTGCAAGTCGCTGCCTACCCGCACACATGCGATTTCGAAGCGATTTCGGAGTGACGAGTTGCTGAAAATCAAACGTTCGATTTCTTGCGACTCGTCGCAAGCGACCAGAATCACAGTTGCACGTTTCTGCAGACCTAGCGATTTCTCATGCAACTCGGCTTTCGATTCTAGAAAGAAAGCCAGAGAACATGAACAAGTCGCAAGTCTGCGCTAGGCTTTAGACTGCATTTGAGGCACCGGTGCCGCCACTGCTCTATTCCCTTTCCTCTTTTCTTGGTAGTCATTCTTATCCACACAAACTGTTCTGTCTAGGGGAGATGGGAAAATTGAGTAAAACTACAACTGGTGTCCATGAATGGTTATAAAATACGAGCAATAGAACAGGAATAACAACAACAACAGCAATGGCAACAGTGACAACAACAACAAAACGACAGCAGCAGCAATCACAACAACAACAACAACAACGTACTAACAACATTAACAACAGGTGCCCGTTTTATAGAGGGGACCTTTAAAGTTGATAAACCTTGCAGCTAAATGCATATATATACCTACTGTGAGCTTGCACATGTTGCAAAAATTCAGTACAAGTTATTTGTATTGCTACTTTCATAACATTTCTTCTCAAAATCTAAACGAAATTACTTCTCTTACGAACGTAGCACCACAGTGATATTTACACATCCGGGACACAGCAGAGCGATTGGCTCGATTCAGTAACAGTTCCTTTCTATGATAAAACAAGTTATAATTCATTATTCGATGTTTATTTAACTGGTACAAAATTATGAAATTTGTTTAAATCATATCGTTATCTATATTACTTAACTGCAATCAGGAAACAAATATAGTGTTTTTGTTTCAGGAGCTACTTGCGCTAGCGTAGGGCTACTGCTACTAGCAGTGCTAGCTGTGTACCAAACCGCCTCCGAGAGAGTTTTCAAAATAGTCGACTTCCGAGCACATTTCTGGCTCAATGAGAACATTTCGTGATGTTTGCACACTGCAAGTATGCTCACAGTAGGTCTATATAGGTTTTTTGTTGCAAGGTTTATCCATTCTAAGCAGACTTGACTGTACTTGTAGCGACAAGGAGGTGCTCCAGGAGGCGGAGAGGATCAGCAGAAGCGAGCCGCACAGGAAGAAGAAATGAAGAACAACATCCTGTCACAAGTCCTCACTCAGTCGGCTCGCGCTCGTTGTAGGTTACCCGTCACAGTTCTATGTTACAATGCATGCCTGCATGTTTGCTAAGACATTCATGTTACCTATCACACCGCTGTGTTACCTGTCATGCATGTAAAACAGAAACTGCAGAATTATTAAAGCAGAAAAGTATGTAGTTTGCTGGTGGTTACCATTTTGTTATGCTGTTACGCTGCGTGACCAAGTTAAAGGAACCCACCAGTGTAGTAGAACACATGAGCCTGTAGCTCTATGTTGCTGTTGGCCACCTTATAATCATTTTCCAGAGTAAAGGTTGCAGTTTTGCTTAATCCATTTTCACTCCTGAATAGGTTTCCTACAACACTGCAGTGTGCCTTTTACAACTTCACATGTGAGGTCTATGTCACACATGTAGTTTATGACTTGCACCTTTTTGTGTTAGTTGAACGAGATATGATAATATCAGAAGTGTATATTTATTTATATAGTATTATTATAGGAGGTAATATAGGAGATATATTACAGGAGTTTATATCATACACTCCTGATAATGTGTTTCTGCATGGATGGGTGTGTGCATGCATGTGTGAAGTTTTTAATTAATGAAATAGCAATTTAATGTTTTTTTTTATCTAGTGAACACAATTGCTATAGCAAAGCCAGAAAAGGCCAAGTCAGTAGAGCACATATTGCTGAATATGGCCACATCTGGACAAATACAGCAAAAGGTTTGTAACGTTTACGACCAGTAGGTGGCACTAGTAGACTGTAGAATACGCACCCGGCAGTTAGATGCGATATTATATGACTACTAGGCACTTAGGATATGACTACTAGGCACTTGAAAAGAAAAAAAAACCCTAACCTTAACCCTAACCTAACCTAAACCCTAAACCTAACCTAAACCCTAAACCTAACCTAAACCCTAAACCTAACCTAAACCCTAACCCTAACCCTAAAAAAAAAAAAAATTTAATTAAATTAAAGTGCCTAGTAGTCATATAATATCGCATCTAACTGCCGAGTGCGTAGAAATACAGTCTGGGGCGCATCAAATGCAGTCTAAGACATTCAAATGTTTGACATATACACATACGTACACATACACATAACAATTGAAATTATAAGTTTTAAATTAATTTACAGAATAACGAATCAGTTCACTAAGTTTGAAATTAATTTATTACTTTTAACATTAATCACCAGAAATGCGAATCTAACTGTTGGTTTCAGACAAATGAGCTCTTTGATTGTAAACATTTATATATGTTTTGAAAGCTGTATGATTAATTTGTAATTTAAGCTATACA